CTATCCTGGCGCTCACTCTGTAGACCAGACTGGCCTCGAAGTCACAGAGATCCACCTCCCTCTGCCTCCCAAGTGCTGGGATTAAAGGTTTACGCCACCAATGCCCAGCCTATATTTTATTTTTTGACCAATGTCTCATTGTCTATCCTCGGCTGATCTCAAAGTGGCCAGCCCTCAGCATCTGTCTTCCACGTGGTACCATTACCTGCAGGTACCACCACACCCGGCCCTGTACCTATTTTTTCCCTACAATTCTGAGTATGTGCGTATATTTTATCATACTTACCTGAAAGCCCTCTCCCTCTTCAGTTTCAGGCATCACTTCCATTCCAAGAAGCCTGTCAGATAAGAGCCCCCCTCAGCCCCAGCTCCTCTTACTATCTGACCTGTTGTTCACTGTGGGCTTCCCTTTACCTGATTCCCAGGTAGAAGCTGCAGCAGGCTCCTGGCCTTACTCTTTGCTTGATAAACATTTGATTGGTGAGTAAAATTGATTAGTCATAAAATGTAGAACTTCTCACGATAAGATATATGCTATACAAATGTAGGCTCCTAATCCTAGTAGATTAGGTTTTATGCTTTATTGATTCATGAAGCATTGAAGCTACATATCTTGAGGGCTAAAATTAAACTGAGAGCTGTACTTTGGTGGAATATATCTGTTAGAAATTGGTTGTTTAGATTTAAGAGTCAATAAAATCAGAATATTAGTGAAGGATGACACAACACGGTAAGGCAGGTTCTGTATTTCCAGCACACCGTAACCGACCCTGTCATAAAATGCTCTACTTTATGATTTTAATTTTGATTTCTTCCTTAAGTTTAAGACAACACGACTGGGTTTCTTACTTGATGAATTTCATGGAGTAAAGGTCCACATACTAGTTACTCTCAGAGGAGAGTGCCTGGCAAGCAATCAAAGCATCCGGCCTCACTGTTGTAATTATCATTACATGGATCATCCGGAATCTATTCTGTGTTCCAAATACCTTTACATTAGAATAACCCTAGAAGTTAGAGAGTACCAAATTCTCATAACCTGTGAGGACAGTGAACACATGGAGCTTTGGACACTTGCCTGCAGCCACACAGTAAATAACTGTGGGGCCAGAATTTAAAATCAGAAACCGTCACAAACAATGCTGTTTCTCTGACTCTCTGTTAGGGTTAGCTGGGGTTTTGCATAAATAGAGGGATTAGCTGCCTGCTTTTGAGTACAGTGCAAGCTTCTTCTCTATGGCTGGTGTCCCTCCCATCTGAGATATTAAATTTTCTTTGTGTCATAGTTAATGGAGAGAAATTGATTCATGTGTTAAAAAAGCAGAGAAAAAAGTCCCAGTAAGAAAGCCGATGACTAGTGAGGATGACTAACGAACTATGATGCAGTCTTATGCTTATACCCTAAAATGTGACTCAGGTGTTGTCAGGCTCAGCCCTTAGAAATGCTTCTCCTAAGGGGGCAGGATGCCTCACACTGACCTGTAGCCCACACACTTCCCTTCCCTGTCCTTTCTCCCTCCCACCACCCCTTTTCGGTAGTTCCATAATTGATTGGTAAGTTATTGGTTTGGTCAAGGAGGTGGTGGTAAAACTCAACAAATAGTTACCAAGCCAGGGCAGGGCGTGGAGATTCATTCACAATAAGAAAGCTGCATTTGAAGTAAAGTCAAAACAATAACATGCAAGTTTTGTGACTATAAATGAAATATAAAGAGTAAATATTCTTCCCTTTGGACTCCTTCTGAAAAAAATGACACTGTAGTCTAAATAAAACTGCCATTCCTGGATTTGAAAGACTCTAAATGAAGCCTGCTCCTAGTCAGTGAGGCTTCCATAATAAACAAACAGGCTGGAATGAACTGTAAACACACATCTCTCTCAGTTGTGGGGCTGGGACGTCTGCTGTACCTTCAGCCTGTGGAGACAGAATGGGGTCTGCTGCCTTCAGATAAGGCCAGTAGTCCCACCATGGCCTGTCCGTCCTCATAGCCTTGTCCAAGCTGTCCTCTACCCACAGGCCTCCCCTCCCAGAGCCGTTACAGTAGTGACTCGTGGGTCTGCAGTCTGCATTAAACAAGGCTGGAGGGTGATCCCGATGGCAGAGAACTGTCATTTTGAGACTGAGAAACGGCCTTAGAGGTTATGTATTTCCGACTCTCAGTTGGCAGGAAAGAAACCAGTGGGGCCATGAATAGGATAATAAATAAATTTAACATTAAAAAAGATCCAGTCTCAGATCCTACTGTGTACAGTTCAGTGGTGCGATAGTGTCTACCAGAGGTGTTATTAGTGTGAATATGTGTTCATGCTTAATGCCAGTCCTGAGGGAGGGTCAAACCTCGGCAGTAGAAATGTAATTTCATGAGAGGTAAGTGTTGACTATAATTATATTAACTCCTTAAAGCCACAGTGGCCTTTCTCAAAGGGCTTTTAAGGGGAAAGTTAATGACCCTCTGAAAACGGAGTAACGTATCTCGTCTATCTGCCTTATAATTTGCAGATGAACACAGGCCATGCAAATTGAGCAGTCTTCCTTAATTGATGGGCAGCATGTGTCCTGGGCTGTCGTGCACCAAAAGTGCCAGTAAAACATCAGGGTTCACTCTTCCTTAAAGACCTAAATCGGTCCAGGGGACTCCTGGGAGGATCTGAAGGGTCCTCCCTAGTGCCTGGAATCGTCATTTAGAAACCTTGGGGAATAAATGGATTCTTGTCCCCTGAACCTGCTGTCTGATATAATTTGGATTGAACCTTGAGGCCCCTAGATGCAGTGAGCATACATTGGGTTCTGTTTGTCCAGCAAGCCAGGCAAGCATCACCAAATCAATAACATGACGTGCCATCTGCCTCCCCTGGCTTACCATCATGAAGAAAAATGACTCCGTAAGTGTTCAGAGAGGCAATTAGCTCTGAAGGCTGAGCTGTAATGGGGAGAGGCCGAGGCACATTTGTATTCAAAGCTTTATTGGTAAAATGGAGAGGAAACCGTTGCCCATATTAATAGACGCGTAAAGTGTATAAATGGGGTGACTGGGTATTACTCTACTTATGCATAATATTACGTAACTGCGGGCACACGGCGCTGAGAGGGCAACTGGATGACATCGGTTCAGCCAGCGCCTGCGTCACAGCTGGTGACCCTGTCCGGAGTCATCCTGGACAGACAGACTGCCCCTGACGGTGTCCCCAAAGGCGAGCTTCTGGCTTCGGAGACAGCCATTGTCACTCAGCAGTCTTCACTGCTATGCGAGCTCATCTTCTCTTGTTCTCTGTCTTCTTGTCCTTGGCGCCCCAGAAATAGAGAGCAGCCGATTGGCTGTCTGGCTGACCCAGCACGTGTCACAGAGCAGCTGATTGGCTGTCTGGCCTCAGTGCCCGAGTTGGTCCGCCCCCTTTACCGGAGCTGACTCCCTCTGACCCTGGGAGCTTCAAGAGTCCCAGTGTCGTTGGTTTGAGACCCGGGAGCTGTGCAGGGCCCATGGGTGTGGTTCTCTCCCTTTGCTCGTCAGGGGAGGCGTCACCATCTCGGTTCCTGCCCCTCTTTCACAGCCTGCTGACCGTTGCCTCCCCCTGCCCGGCCCGGCCCTGTCCTCGCTGACCTGCGTGGGCTCTGCTTCGTGTCTGCAGCTGTTTCCTCTGTTTCAGGTCACTCTAAAAGTTCAAGTTGTCCTTAGTGTCACTCTCTGTCTGACTGTTGATGTCATGTGCCTCCCAGGGCTGGATTCAGGGGGCTTTTAAAGTCACACACACACATGCACACATACATGCACACATACACACGCATACATACACACACATACACACACACATACATGCACACATACACACGCATACATACACACACACATGCACACATACATACACACATACACACACATACATACACATACACACATAAACATGCATACATACACACACATGCACACATACATACACACATACACACACATACATACACATACACACATAAACATGCATACATACACACACATGCACACATACATACACACACATACACACACACA